TACCTTTAAATATTTTTTAAATTTTATACTAATGTTAAAACAAAAAACATATATATTTATAAATATGGTGTTAGCTATCTAAAAAATAGTTGAAATATAATAATGTATTCATTATAATAAGAATTAGTGCAAGACTGTTAGATGGAAAAAGCGTCGTTTGTGTATAAAATCATATCGAAACATTAGGTCGTAATTTGTGAATATATCAATACTTAAATATATTTGTAAAATTATTTGCCAATAGAAATAAGTCTGATAAAAAAGAGAAAATAATGATATTTCATCATTTTTCTTAACACTCTTCAACTCGAGATTTAAATTTCCCTAGATTCACGTCTATGTCTAGTGTATTAAATTCATTATTAAACAGAATAACTTTTTAAACACTATCTACTGAATTTTCCTAAAAATAATAATTCTTTTTTGGCCTTTTAGGATGTCAACTTTATCTTTTCAAATAACAACGAACATAATTAATTAGCTTATAATACAGAAAACTATTTAGTAAAAAAATTATTGGTGATTTGGGTTGGCTTAAACATCAACAATTAAGATTAAAATCCTTTAAACGGAGAAAGTAATTAAGAAGAAGCGATATAGATGATAACTCTTTCAAGAAAAGTTCTATCAACATTTTTTTTTTTTTTATAAAATACACCTTTAAAATAATTTTTTTTTATTATTTTTATTATTATGAGTTCTTAATACACCCCCGATAAATCAACAACTACTTTCTTATTATTAAAACATTTTGATTTTTTCAAATTAGTACTAATTAAACAACAATACGCAATAGTTTATAAACTTTTTAGAAGTATTGAAAAACTAATTAATACATTTTTAAACGATTATGATTTTTAGCTTCAATGCTAATCTAAAAGGTATTCATAATATCAATGCCTGTTTTTTTTTTGTGTCTGTTCAAATACTCAGTTCTCACTGAGGCAATTTTGATAATCTACACGTCAAAAGAACATGATTAAAATTAGTTGAAGTTATCAGTACTAAAAATTGAAAAAAAAAACATTAACATTATAAATTTAGAAAATTATCTCAAAATTATGCAATCATAAAATATTACATTTTAAAATATTTTTTTCTTTATTTTAAGCTGCTATTGTGTATTTTTAAAAACTGTGATACTTATCTAATTTTTAAAACAAAAATTTGTATTTAATTTTATAAAAATGAATACTAAAAAAAAATTAGTTTTCGTGTAATGTACATGAATTATTCATTTTTACTATTTTTTAAATTTGATAAATCAAATTATAAGCTAGTCAATATAATTAATTCTATTACTATTTTTTAAAAGCTGATATGTCATTTTTAGCAATTCCTCAGATGAGCAAAAACAATTTAATAACTTCAATGAAGTTATATAAAAATTATTATTTTAGAAATGCAAAAAACAAACCTTTCTGATAAAATTGACTTGCAATTTCTGGGACAAGGAAGATATTTTTCTGTTTATACATTATGAAAAATCTCAAAACCCCATATTTGTGACCTATCAACTTTAAATATGAGATACAGAATTGTAAATGTACAAAAATATGTTAGTATAATATCCATTTATTTTTTAATAAATTAGCTATCTATTTCTTTCAACATTTCGTAGTATATTAATAGTTTTTTTCTCAAAAAACAATATTTAATTCCCATAAATATTCATTGTTAATAGTAGAATCCATTTTTCTCAAAATAAACATTAGATCTGTTGTAGATTTATTTTTTAAATCATTTAATAAAAGTGTCTTTATTTCCATGTAGTTTTTATTATCACATAACTTCATAAATATGGAAGGTTTTTTTTTTTTTGAGTGTTTTACTTTTACTGTCAACTCAAAATAATGCAAAAAGTTATTTTTCATTGCTTCAAGTTCTTTTAAAATTTCCAATTTATTCTTACATTTTTTTAACTGTAAAATGTATTCTTGTATTGCAACATGATGAATATTATCTACTTTATGTAAGAAATCTTTCATTACCTCAAAACTATTTAAAATAATTTTCTTGACTTCTTCTGGATCACCATCATGAATGAGTATTTCATAACCATATGAAGCTAACCAGAAAGCATGTGTGTATGTGTGTCTTTTTAAGACCCATTGAAATCCATAAACAAAAGCATAATTGGTTTTTAAATTTACAAGTGTAGTATTTGAATTAAGTGCATCCGAGAATAAATTTTCTAGAGTTATTAACTTGCCAGTTTCCAAATCAGTTACTTTTTTAAAACTGATATAACGCCATATAGAAGAATTTTGAAGAAATATCAAATCAAATCTGTCGTAATTAATGAGACGTCCATTCACAATGTCAATTACGGCAATTAATAAAATAATAACCATTAAAGTCATTTAAAATATTTTTTTCACATCTAACTATAATTATAAAATTTAAAAATTTATTGAATACTTTTTATTTTCTAGTCAAAAGTTGTAAATTGCCGTTTTATTTAAATAAAGGTGATAAATTATAAAGTAAATAACACTCTATAAATAAAATATATTACGCGTAAATAATTGGATATTGAAGTTTCAAAATAAGATTTAAATTCAATCATATTTCCATATTACAATTAATTTTATTTAAAAATAATTATTCTACCATAAAAGTGTTATGTCTTTTAAAGTGACTGAATATATAAATAGTTATCAATAACAATAAAATGTTTTGAAATATATTTCAAAGTTATTGGAATATTTTTATTTGAGTTAATAGAATATTAAAAAAATTAAGTAGAAAAACAAGATTATAAATCATAAATTTGTTTTATTTTTATAAATTAGCATATGTTATTCTGATAAATTTAATGATAATTTATAGATAGACATATTATTTTTTTGTTAGATTTACACGTTGTTTACCAAAAGCAAACTCATTCTCATCAACATAATTCAGTTCTATGAAAAACTTTTTTTTATTAGACTTTACTTAAAGACTTAGTTTAAATATATGACTTAAAAGTAATTTTTTAATATTAATTATAAATAATTACATTTGTTCAGGTTTTTATTCAGATAATTACTTTAATATAATAACTGTTATATTGTTTTAAAATTAATCACACATTTAAAATTCGAAATAAAATTAATTATTTTTTAGCTTCGGTGCAAAGCGCAGAAGGTATTAATTTTACTATGATGTTTTTTTTTTTTTTATGTCTGTTGCCACTTTTTCTCAGCTCTCACAGGACCGATTTCTTTCAAAAATACGTCAAAAGATCACAAATTGTATCTAGTTGAAGACATTACCCTTAAAAATTGAAAAAAATTCCCTCGTTCACCGCAAATGGGGGAAATATCCAAAAAAATTACAAATTTAAAAATCGCTAATTTTCGAAATTTTTTCACTTTTTTTTCTTAAAACTTCCATAACTTTTTGAAAAATCAACAAATCAACATAATTTTTTTTTATACTAAAATCTTAGATGTTTTCCTTTCATTTGATATCATTTTTTTGAAAATCTAACACTACACCTGCTCATTGGGGGGAATTTAAAATTGCAACTTTTTTACAAAAAATAACTTTTTCAACTTAATTTTTGAAAATGTTCCGGAAATACTGCGTCCTTTAAACATATATCAAATTAAAGCTTATTTTATGTACTATAAAATGAAAAAGAAAATTTGTTCCGACGACCTATCTTCTATGCGCAAATGGCTACCATATTCAAAAATATGCTATTTTAACAAATTTTTTTTTTTTAATTAAACACTATCTACAGATTTGCATCGAAGCGTTTTTTATGATAGTGATTTTAATCACTGTCAGATATCATCTATACTGGACCCAACTATGCCTCGACCCCTCTGTGCTGCCACCCCACTGTGCTACCGTTTTTTTAAATTATAGACCAATATATACTTTACTAAATCAAATTTTTATGCTGATAAATAATATTAATATTTATTTTAAAAAAATATGATAGGGTCGATGACTTTATTTTGGATAAATATTCGTAAAGATGAGAAAAATGTTTTAATTAAACTATGAGCGTTTTAAATTTTTATTAAAAACGCTCAATGCCATCAGCGTTTATTGATTTGTAATCTAAAGTTTTTACCAGGCCTGTCCAGAAACGTCCACATGCAAAGTTTTTTGTAACATATGATATCAGTTTGGGCATATTAATTTTTTTTTAATTTTATGTATTTTACACATTTAATACGGAATTTAAAGATTGCTTTTAATGAATATTATGTTTTCTTTCGCCATTTGTAATGTAATATAGGTCATTATTTTATAAAACTGAAAACAAAGAATTTTTGTAATGTTTGGTTTAACTATGAATTTCTTAATCTATTATTACAAAAATATAATATAGTCTATTATTTGTAAACCTAGAAGTAGAACACTTATGTAATGTTTAGATTAATTGTAATTCCCCAAATTATTGTTACTAAACCAAGAAGTAAATATTTATAAACATTTTTGAAAATTATGGCATTATGAATCTCTTGATCTATTATTACTAAAATATAATATAGTCTATTATTTGTAAACCTAGAAGTAGAACACTTTTGTAATGTTTGGATTAATTGTAATTCCCCGAATTATTGTTACTAGATCAGGAATTAAATATTTATAAACCTTTTTGAAAATGATTACTATATGAATTTTATAAAAAGACAAACAAAATATTTTAGTATATAAGATGAAACGGAATGAATTAAAAAGTGAGTAAGAGAAGACCTCGGGAGTACCGAAGGTAATCTCTTTCCGTGTGGTACGTTTGTGACATTAAGTTTTTTGTGTATTATTTATTTATCCGGTTTTTAAGTGTATTAATTTTTTATATGTTTTATTTTGATTGATTATATCTTTATTAACTACTTTTTGCGTTATTATTGAACTACTAAAACTATAAGTTAGAACAAAAAGATTGTTCCTTAAATAAATACAACAGTAAGGACAGCCCAAAGGGCTTAATGTGCCGTAGGTTCGTAGGCACCCAAGGTAAGAGGCAGTTAGGCTAAGCTTAGTATTACAAATTAAAAATTGTTAACTTATTTATTTATTTATTAAAAACAAATAATTAATACATGTTTTTAACGTAATGTATGAAAATTATTTAAAAAAAATAATGCACAGTATTCACTGCATCAGAAGTTATTAAAGATTTCAAAACCTGCCGAGGGTATTATCTTGTAGTATTATATGTGCATTAAACTTTATATAAATTAAATAAATTACTTATAAAGTAAATAATCAACTAGATATTTAGGAGTGTAATATGTCTGATTTGTTATATCAAAATCCTTATCATCATCATTATTCATCTCATCATTTTCATCACTTGAGATAGGACTACAATGTATTCTTATATCATTCGTATTATCACCAGGAAAATAAAGTGATCGATATATGTCTTCATGATTTCCTAATTGTTCTAAAAAAAAAAAATTTAATTATAATTTTCATATAAAAAATATATATATTTTAATTTTTTAATTAATTATTTTAATGGAAACTACTCAATTTTTAATAAAATAGTAATTTTTTTTGGGATTTTCTTAGATACTTACGTACTTATATTTATCTGTTATAAAATAATTATTAGGTTAATCTCTTATTAAGATGTAAACATTATTATATTAAATGACAACGTTTATATTTAACTAGCTGAAATAACAAAAAAATATTACTTAATTAAGAAAATGCCGTAGCGAAGAATTTTTGAAGAAGTATTTTAAAAGTTATCAATCATTTTATGTATTGACTGGAGGTGACTAACTAGTGCTGCTATTTTTAATACTAGTCATTTCTCATCCTGACTTCTCATTTCATTAAAATATAAAAATGTTAATAACTCTTAAAATACTCGTTCAAAAATTGATATCGACCGGTCACTTTTAAATTACATAATTTTTCACTATTTAAACAAGTTAAATATATATACTGTTAAAAAAAAAAATTAATTCGACACTCAAATATAATATGAAAAGTAAGAAATAAAAATTATTTTACAACATATTAATGAAAAGACCTATGTAATTAACAAAAGCCTATAAAATAAAATCTCAAAAAAATTATTTTATGAAAAATTGAGTTTCTAGCGTTTGTAATATCACTCATTAAATATATTTCAAATATTCATTTGAGAATCATTAAGATTAATATATTTATACAATTTTATGAATAATTTCGTCAAGTTTTAAATATTATATGTAGAAAACCTTGAATATACAGAACGACCGAAATCTGGTAGTCAGTATTTTATTAGAAACTATTGTAAATTGTTATTTATGTAATAAATATATTAGGTTCAAAAAATTCAATATATGTAGTCAAATATATATTAATTAAAAATTTGTTTTTAAATTTAAAAACCTTAATTTTNATATATTTAATTAATATATTATATTAATTAAAAATTTGTTTTTAAATTTAAAAACCTTAATTTTCTTAAACGGTAATACTTGTTTGTGACCTGATATTAACTATAGTTCATATAAAAAATAATTATATTTTAGTCTTTACTTAAATACATAAATGTATTTAAAATGCTGTAGTGGAAAAAATTATAACTATCATTATAATTATACTTTTAAAAAAACTCTAAACAGAATTAATTTATAAAACGTTGTAAAAATTCTTTATATTCTTTTATTTGACTGGAAGAANATTTTATTTGACTGGAGGAAAATAATCATGAAAATGATTTTGTAAACTAACCATATGGTAAATTAAATTTGAGAATAATTTTAAGTGTACGGTTATTTATGTATTCTGAAGGAATATATTTATTGGCAGCCTCAAAAATATACTGATATTTCTTTAATTCTGAAGTTAATAGAGCAATTTTATTTACTTCCTTAACAGCTAAATCATAAATGCTTCTAATATTGTCTTCTTTGATATTTTTTATCTCTAAATGACACTTTGTCCAACATAAAAAATGGCTTCTCAAAAATTCACAGAAAAATTTAGAAATTGATTGAACTTTTTTATTTATAAACAAATTATTGTGATCTTTGAAGGATGAAATAAGATTGAAAATTATATTAAATGCATGATACATTTTATTTGTATATATTTTATTAAATAAATTCAAATCCATAAAGGATTTCATATTTTCAACAATATGTTGGCCCATTTCAATGATTTTATATTTCATTACGTATTTTAATTCCTCATTTTTAAATTTGAGATGAATAATGAACTTATGAACTAATGAAATATAAAAACGTAGAATCGCTATAATTGGACGAAATATTGCTGCATTTACTACATTTTGAAATGCTTTTACATATTTAACGTCAAAATTAAACTTGATGAAACGAAACACATCGAATAACGTTATTTGATAATTATTATTGTTCTTTATTTTCAACGGGGCATATCGAACCATATCTAAAACATCATATAGCTCTTTATCACTGTTATATTTAGCATATCGTTTTGCTTGAGAACCTGATGCAAGATCTAGCTCCATAAAACAAGGCCGACTTTCCATCAAATCGTAAAACAAAATATTCTTAGGATTGAAAATATTGTATGTTTTTCTTTCAAAAGCTAATGCTAAGTGTTTTATTATGTCACAATAATTTTTTAATATTTCAGTATTATTCATTACAAACATTTCTTTTACAGTCAAATATTCCTTCATAATTTGAATTATTTTATTGTTTAGTTTTTCGATTTCATTACGTAAGACTTCTAGGCTGTGTTTTATTGGCTCTTGAAAATTAGTTAAAGATATGAAATAGTTTCTACCTGATACATTTAAACACCTTTCATTTATAGAATATTCCAATCTTTCTACAATTGAACGATGTAGAATTTTATAGCCTTTAAGTAAATTTTGTGAGTTTTCAGTTCTATTAAATTCGCCATTTTCGTCATTTCCAATCATATTTATAGATCCCGAAACGTTATTCAAATATAAATTTACGGTCATTATATCCTCTGCGATATATTTATCGTCCATTTCTCGTAATGAATCTAACATTATCATAACAATTTCGCCATGAGATTGTAATGCTGTTCCATAATTTTTTAATTCAAATTCAGAAATGTTATTTTCGATGTTAAACAAATATTTCTCACTATATTTGAAATAATTAAACAAATGTTCAGAGAAATTGCAATGTAATTCCAAAGGGTCTAAGGAAATTGCACATTTTATGTTAACAAATAATATTTTAATAAATATTAAAATTTTAAATATGATCATTATGACGTATACTCTAACTACTACTAACAAATTTTAAATAAATATAAAAAAGAGTAACATTTGTTATATAATTATGTTAAATATAATATAATAATATATAATTATGATTTATTTGCTATAAAAAAAAAATCTTAATGCTTTTATAGAATATTCTATTTGCTTTAATATATTTACTTTGTTTTTTAAACCTTATGTTTCGATGCTTTTTATTTTTAGTCAATCTAATTTTGTATTTATGACTTCACATAATATAAATTAATTTTAATTTGTATGCACATTGTATATATGTACGTTAAGATCAACATAAAGTTAAGCTTCAGAGCAAAATCGTCCTTCAAAGCAAAAAAAAAATACTTATAATTATATTGAAAGATTACAAATATAAAAAAAAGTCTAATTAATTGGCCGCAACGAAAAACTTATAACTTTCATGGCGCATTGAAAAATTAACAAGAAAAGGGTCGCTAACCTACTGGGCGAGACAATGTATGGTCGGAACACAGTAGGATTTTAAAGAGAAATTGACTTTTGTATATTAAAACAATTAAAAAAACCCAGCACAGGGGGGTCGCGGCACAGTGGTGACGTGGCATAGATGGATCAAGTATAATGATATCTGACAGTGATTAAAATCACTATCATAAAAAACGCTTCGATGCAAATCTTTAGATTGTGTTTAATTTTAAAAAATTGGTGGATTATTCCAAAAGCAACATGATCTGCTAGTTCGTTATTAATATCCTGATTCAGATAAAGTATATCGAAAGAAAAAGGGATTATTAAAAATTACTTTTTCTCATAAAAAATTTTTGTTGATCCATACACTTTTCAATAAGTTATAGCTTTATAAAGTTAAAAATGTAAAAAATAAAATCGAGAATTTTCACACAAAAATATCATTTGGTAGCCAATTTCACCCTGAAGACAAAATAAAGTCCGACATTTTTTTTTACTATAATAAAGTATATTACATTAGCTTTAATTTAATATATATAGAAAAGTGTCAGACTTTCCGGAACACTTTCAAAAATTTAGTTGAAAAAATTCTACTTTCTATATGCATTTTTTAGATTTAAACCCCCCTCGTATATAGGAAAATGGTCCGATTTAAAAAAACAGTATGTCGAATGAAAGATGTATATAAATACTACTTCTAATGAAAAAATTGTATTGATCCATACATTTTTCAAAAAGTTATAGCATAATAAAGTTAAAAATGGAAAATACAAAATCGAAAATTTTCACACAAAAATAGCATTCGGTAGCCATTTTCACCATGTAGATAAGATAAAGTCCGAAATTGTTTTTTTTCATAATAAAGCATATTACATTAGCTTTAATTTAAGATATATATAAAATTGTCAGACTTTCCGGAACATTTTCAAAATTTAAGTTAAAAAAGTTAATTTTTTGTGAAAAAGTTATCATTTTCAATCCCCCCTTGTGGACAGGTTAAGAGTTAAATTTATGAAAAAAATATACCAAATGAAAGGTAATGATATTATGCATCTATAAAAAAAAGAATTATATTGATTTGGTTATTTTTTAAAAAGTTATAGCAATTTTAAGTAAAAAAAATTTATAAAATTTCGAAAATTAGCGATTTTTAAATTTGTAATTTTTTTGGAGGTTTCCCCCATTTACGGGGAACGAGGGAATTTTTTTCAATTTTNCTTATTAAGATAAAGTATGTCTAATAAAAAAAGGATTATTAAAAAATATTATTTCTCATAAAAAATTGTGTTGATCCATACACTTTTCAATAAGTTATAGCATTATAAAGTTAAAAATGTAAAAAATAAAATCGAGAATTTTCACACAAAAATAGCATTTTCGCCGTGAAGACAAGTCCAGAGGTTAAATTTTTTTTTTCAAATTAAGTATATTACATTAGCTTTAATTTAAGATATATATAAAAGTATCTGACCTTCCAGAACATTTTCAAAAGTTAAATTGAAAAAGTTAATTTTTTGTGAAAAAGTTTTCAATTTTAAATCCCCCCCTGTGGTCAGATAAAGGGTCAGATTTACAAAAAAAATATACCAAATGATAAATAAAGACATCAAGCATCTATATAAAAAAAAAATTACTTATCCATACATTTTCCAAAAAGTTATAGCATTATTAAGTTAAAAATATAAAAAAAAATTATTTTACAAAAATCGTAATTTTTTATTAACTTTGATGTCANATTTTACAAAAATCGTAATTTTCTATTAATTTTGATGTTTATTTTCACCACGAAGACAAGTCCAGAGGTCAAATTTTTTTTTTGAAATTAAAGTATATTACATAAGCATTAATTTAAGATGTATATAAAAGTGTCAGACCTTCCGGAACATTTTCAAAAGTTAAGTTGAAAAAGTTCTACTTTATATATGTATTTTTTATATTTTAAGCACCCCTACATATAGGGAAATGGTCTGATTTAAAAAAAAATATACCAAATGATAAGTAAAAACATTAAACATCTATATAAAAAAAATATATATTGATATGTTCATTTTTGAAAAAGTTACGGCAGTTTATAGAAAAAAAAATTGAAAAAATTTCGAAAATTAGCGATTTTTAAATTTGTAATTTTTTTGGAGGTTTCCCCCATTTACGGGGAACGAGGGAAATTTTTTCAATTTTGAAGGGTAATGTCTTCGACTAGATACGATTTGTGATCTTTTGACGTATCGTTGAAAGAAATCCGTTCGGTGAGAGCTGAGAAAAAGTGGTAACAGACACAAAAAAAAAACACATCATAGTAAAACCAATACCTTCTAGCTTCGCATCGAAGCTAAAACATCTAACAAGATTTTTTGGTGTGGCTTCAGTAGGTTACGAATAATTATACACCGCTCTTATGCAAATTAAGGCGTGTTTGAATTCTGGGTCAATAATGCCACTGCTTACTTACTACTTACTTACTGTCTGATTGAAATGCATTTACCGCCACTAATTTTTTAATCGGTAATTCGTTAACAGAAATACCTGAATCTGACTTAATAAAAAAAATTCCCAACCGGTTGAGAAGGTGACAGATGATGACGTAGTTGACACAGCAAGTTTGAAATCTATGCAAACTGAATACTTATCTACTCTTTAATATCGTGTCAAATTGAAAAAATCATTGAAAGCCATTCCAAAAATAGATGATTTGGTTCTAATGAAGGAAACTTACTTGAATTTGCTTCAAGAATTTCTAAGGTCAATTATTTTTAAAACCGAAAGTATTATGAAATCGTTATAAAACCTTAGTCAACTTTAAATTTTATAAAGCTTTATACAGTTAAAAAACGAAGATTAATTGATAAATTTCAACGGTTTATTTTGGTTTTAAGTAAACCAATGTAAAAATCATGCTGAATATTTGGTTTTGGTGAAGGTTTGGTTTTTAAAGTTTTTTGTTTCATATGAGATTTGGTACTGCAAATTTTGGTTAGTAATAATACATAAAATTACTAGATTAAATATATATATATATATTTTTTTCTTAATTATGTGACTTATTCTAACTGCAGTAGTAATTGTTAAATCTTATCTAATTAGTTCTTATCTAACAAATGGTGTAGAAATGTAGATTGTTGTTAATTTATAAACGATATTTTTCTTCATTTTTTTAATTTTAGAATAATCAAAATTTGTGTTACATTTTATCTTTTACTTTGTAATTTTTAATTAAATTTATACTAATGTATAATTTGATCACAACATATCCTTATAGTTTGTATCCTTATGTTATTTAGTATATTTAATATAAATGAATTGTTTAATAAAATAATTATAGTTAAACAGTATTTAATGATCAACCGTCATTTATTAATATTTTCAAAATTTCATATATTTCATTTTACGTTTTATTTATAAAAAAAGATATAAGTTTTAAAATTAGTAAAAAAAATTTTTTCTTCTTATAATATACATAAATATGAGCCCAATTGCATAAAAATTTTTTTTTTAATTTTAAGCTTACTTGAGATGTGCTAGAAATATACCATTCATATAATAACGCTAATTATGATATCCACGCTAACAATTTTTGACTTAGAATTTTGAAACAAAAAAATTTGTATTCTACAATAAAAATTAATCTATTTTGATGTACAACTCATAATATTTTATCAAAAATTGAATAACAGAGGCCGTTTTTTGTTTTTCAAGGTATTTTTGGTCAAATTACTAATAACACCTTTAGTGACCAGTATATTTTTTAAAAATCTCAAATTTCCACAGAATGCCTATTTTAATGTATACAATAAAGTTAAATGGGATCTCATTAGAGTTTTGATGATCGTCTTTTTTTTGATTCACCATAATACATAGTATGTACATTTGAACAATATGAGGTATTAAATCAATATTTTATAAACAAAGACTGTAATATTTAAGTAATAACAATGATAATAATTAATATAAATAATAATTTTCAATTCGATACTCAACACAGGATTGGCGTATTTTCTTTTCCCATTTTCATGTCTATCTAATGCATACTTGTTTCATGCTACTCAAATAAACGTTTGAAATATTTTTACCCATAGTTAAAACTGCCGCATTCCGATAACTAGACAATTTTTTATCTATATCAGAAACATACCAAACACGATAATCATACAAATACCAAGGTCTTACTACCCTCAAATGCAATTCAGGTGCTTCTATAAAATTTAATAACAGCATTCCTGCTGTTTTCCTGTAGAGTATAAACCACTTGAAATTCCATCTGTTAATTTTAATGCCGCGTCAATAATTTTTTTTCGTCCTAATTCCAGAGTTAATGTGCCATAGTAGGAATAGTTGCACGCACATATTATTAGGACAGCTTGACATATATTAGTATTTTCATATTATTTTAGATAATTGTTTAAAAAAATAAAACATTAAAAAACGTAGTACGCAGAATACATATTGTTTTGGAAATATCTCTTAATTTTCATAAAACTATTTATATTTGTTCCATTTTTTTTAGAAATGGCATAGTCTAAAATATTGAACAATTTATCAACATGTTTAGTATATTCTTTTAAGATAAATGAGTTATTTAAAAAAAAAAATTCAGTTTAACAAAAAAGAGTTATATGCATATTTTAGTAAGAAATTAGGTATTGCAATAAAATACCCAGACATTGTTTACATGGTTAAATTTATTGCAGACAATGTGAAATTTAATTTATAATTATAATAATTATGTGTAATACAGCAAATGTAAGCCATTATAGCTCTGTCAGTCTACCTGTGTACGCTATTAAAATCATTGATATTAGAGCTAAACTTAAGAGGAACCTGAAAACAACATATTCCTGTAAAAATTATTTAAATTTTTTGTTACTTTATATCCAATTCCAATTTAAAGAAGTTAAAAATTCTTTAATTTCTTTCAATTAAGATCTTTAACTTTTTTTGATGAATAATCAATGGTCAATTTTCGTCAATTCTCATGAAAAGTTAAATAATTGGTTATGCAGATTCCTTGCGCCTGATAAAATGTGTCTTTCAAAAATACTTGATCAATACAATTACAAAACAAACTTAATGAATTATACCTACATTGAATATTTTTATTTTATATTAATTATTCATTATTCTGTTGACTAATTAACCGTTGGACATTACATAAAACCAAATACAATATTCAATTTCCTACTTTGACCGTAACATCTATAATAATAAACATGATTATTTGGTGAGAATAAATGGGAATAAAACCTCATTAAGGTATTAAGTAATTTTTCCAAGTTAAAAAAAAACTAATACATAGTGTAACTATTAGTTATTTTACATATAGCACACTAAAATATATACACAAATAGTACCACTAAATTATATCATATGATATAAATAAATAAAATACCTTTTTTTTTAATTGTTTGTAATGCTTGATTTAGATAAAATATTCAAAAGCGGTAAAGATTTAAAATATTTCAAAGAGTAAAGATTTCTGAAGTAATTTATATGACATAAATTTGAAGTAGTATATACTTGAAAATAAATCGTAATACGGTTCAGATCATGTTTGATATATGATATTAGTACATTGTTCTTGTTGCCGAGTTTGGTTTAGTCGAATGTTGTAAAGATCTACATATATCCAACTGGACTGTATATAAAATAAAATAAATAACATTTACTTAAATTATGAGTCTATAGAAGAAAAAGAATGACATTATAACAAAATCTACCATATAATGTAAACTTTTGGGAATATAAATGGCAATAACTTGTAATACGCATTTGGAATAGTCGTAAACATTTTGTTATTGAGGAGATTTAATTTTTACAGACCCTTAGTAATTTCAATGTCTGATCCCTTTACTGATAAGTAATAACTATTGTAAAATGTAATACTAGTTTTAATAGCTATAATATATGGTAAATTCTATTTCAAATAGCTATTTATTTGTTTTTTATTTACAGAGTAAATTATTTCATATAATATGCCGTATACAAATGTCGCACAAAATATGGTTTAATGAAATAAATATAAAGTGTTCATAAATCGAAAAAAATATTTAAGGCATCTTAAAACTTTTGTTTTATGTATTTTTTGATGTATTTAATAAATACTATATATACAAAAAAAAATTTATAACGTAATTTTTATTCTATAAATTGTAGAATACAATTTTTTAAAATGATTTATAGTTTGAGTACATTAAATTTGAAATATATTAAATACATATTTTATTTAAGACATAGAGACTAACTAAAATCAATGGCCGGACTGGATTTATTAAAATTACATAATAAACATGTAGGATACCCATATTTCCAGTTTTAATTAATAAAAAAAAAAATGTAAAGATACTAATTTTATATTTAAAACAATTATTTTTATATAATAGAGACAAAAACTTTAAATAAATAAAAGAATGTTACATATATTTAACACGACAATTCAATAAATAAAATAACAAATAATAATTATTTTAAATATCAATTTTTATTGTGTAATTATTTTAGATAAAATTTAAAGAAGAGAATAAAAATAAATTATTTTTCAATACAAAAAAAAAATTAATCTATAAAAAACAATAGACAATTAATATTTTATCTTAGTTACTAAAATATTTTTACAAATATATAAGAAAATAGCTGGTCAATGTAAAATATATTTTACTTTATATTATTTTAATTTAAAACTTTAAAATATTGTATTAGTATTACATTATATTCAATAATTTAGTATTAAATGTAGTAACTTTTCAACAAATATATTTAAAATATATAAAAATAATAATAACTAAACATTTTATAAGAAAAATTTTAAAAATATTTTGTTTAACTTCAAAAGAATAGCTATATTAATTAAAATATTTTACAATATTTTCTGTAGGAAAGAAACGAGAATTGTGAAAATTATACTTTTTTTTTATGGAAATCAGCTATTAAATTGAATTGAAGACATTATTTTCATTTTTAAACCTGTGGAGGTTAAGGTAACAACTGATTTGGCCAAAAAAAAATAGTAAGATGTCGTTTTATGATTTAAGTAACTGTATTGTTAGCTAAACCAAATAATTTTGTTTAAAAAAATCTACAATTGTAAAGCAAATATTAAACAGTTTATGTTATCAAAGAATAAAAATATCGACCAATGATGAATGAAAAATCTATTATAATATTGATCATTAAATAATTAGTTCGATATAGAATGTAAAATTAATATAAATACAAATGACCGCAGATTTATTATAAGAAATAGCTATTGTGAAAAATAATATCATTACTAAAAACAAAGAAAATTTTCAAATAATACACTTATTAACTAAATGTTTGTGGTATAAAATAAAATTATAAAAAACACCAGAATTAATAAATTTTCTTTGTAAAAATTTCCAATTGTTTTTTAATATTGTAATAAACATCAAGAACTTATATTTTATGTTGTTTAAAGATTGATAAATATTACAGAATAATTTTAAAAATTGTTTTGAAAAAAAATTTGTTGCATGCATGGGTAATTTCATTCAAGCCCAATGTGTACTCAGGTTATTGATTGTATTTTCAAAAAAAGTATACCAAAAGAAAGCTTATTGTCTCTTATTTACTTTGTTAAAATTTCATTAGGATCACTGTGTTAAAAAAAGGTATAGCAGTCTTAAAATGTAGAAATAATTTTTTGTAAATGTCATTTCATATAGTAGCATAATTATAAGATAATTTTTTTTTAATTTCTAAAATGAAGAGGGTTTTTTAAATTTGTTGGCACTGATAGGTTTAACTTAAGCCAAAGCTTCCTCAAAAATTCTATCATAACCTCCTCTAAATATCGTATTTAAACGAAATGTATGTGCTAAGCACACTGTACATGTATACAAAAATCTCAATGTATACTGATTTCGTGTCGTTTTTACTATTTTGATAAATTTTTTTCATGTGTCTACAATTTATTTCTTATAATATACATTTTCTGTTACAATAAAACGTGATTGTACAATGGTGTTATGATTTATTGAAATTTAATGAAAAT